TTTAAAAAGCCAGAAATACACATGGAGAAAAAAAGACAATATCTTCAACAAATGGTGCTGCTCAAATTGGATCACTACATTTCAAAGTATAAAAATAGAATCATACTCATTATCCTGCACAAACTCCTAATGGATCAAAGACCTCAATATAAGACCAGGTAGCCTTAATCTGATGGACAGAGGTGGGAAATAGATAATATGTAACAAATCAGCACCCAATACCATCCTAGATGGATTTGCATGAAACTCATGAACAAGAAAAAGGTGTTCATTCTTCCTATTAAATGCAATGCTTGAAGGATTAGCTAGAGCAATAAGAGAAGTGTAGGAGATGCAATGATAATAATGGTAAAGTATGAAGCCAAAGTACTCTTATTTGCAGATGAAATATATACAAATGTACCCAAGATCTCTACCATAAAACTATTACAGCTGATAAATATATTAAGCAAAGTAACTGAAAACAAAATTCACATACAAAATTTGATCTTCTTCCTATATACAAACCACAGGCACATCAAGAAAGAAAGCAAGGAAACAATACCATTTACAATAGTCTAATATGCCTATCTATCTATCTATCTATCTATCTATCTATCTATCTATCTATCTATCTATCTATCATCTTACCTACCTATCCCTCTCTCTCTCTCTCTCTCTCTCTCTCTATATATATATATATATATATATATATATATACACACACACACACACACACACATATGTGTGTGTGTGATATGTGTGTGTGTGTGTGTGTGTATTTATATATTGGGATAAATCTAACCAAGGAAATAAAATACTTTTACAAATATACTTTTTAAGACAGTGAAAAAAATAATTTGAAGAAGATGCTCTAGGATGGAAAGACTTCCCATGCTCATGGACTGGCGGGATTGAGAAAAATATTAAACCTACAAAAAACAATCTACAAAGTTGATGTTCTCCCATCAAAATTTCAATGCAATTATTCACAGAAATTGAAAAAAAATGTTAAATTTTGTATGGAAATACAAAATACCCACTATAGTCAAAATAATTCTGAACAACAATACAACAAAAATCTACTGGAAATATCATAATTCCAATGTTACGTCAAATTACAGTGCTACAGTAACAGAAAACATAATACTGATATAGAAACAGACTCGTTAGTAAAGGGAGCATCAGGTTTCAGAAGGCAGCCCTCTTGACAGCAAAATAATGACTCCACAAATGTGATTTTGAACACTTAACTGTTTCAACAGTGACTAGTACTAAATAACCAGGACAGCCTTGCCTTACCAAGAAGTATATGATATCACACCAATGATGCTTCATGGTTTTCTATTCAAATTGCAAAAATCTTTTAAGACTTGATATATACTTCCTTTCACTCATACCAGATTTGTTCAGTCCAGATCTCAGGTCCATCAAAAACACATCAGTAAAATAAACTGTTTGAACATGATAGTCATTTATTTTATTGTTAATTTAAAATACTCTATCGTGATAGGCTATAATACTTCCCATGTAAACTAATACCACAAAATATTCGATAATCTTTTTATGAACCCACTGGTTCTCATAAAAGATTTGCCTCACTTTGTAAGTGTGGAAGAAAGTTTTTTGGGCATGATGTCATAAAAAGTAGCATTTATCTCTATTATGTCTTGAAAAGCTCCCAAACAGGTGGTTAGAACAACCATGGATTCAGTTTTTCCATCACCTAGTCATGGTAATAGCAGTCATTCTGTACTAAGATTGTTCCTCAAAGATAAGACTTTTGGTCAGTGTAGACAGACAATGAGAAGTGTATAGATATCAAGTATATTTTGGGCTTCATGTTGATAATGTGTCTCTGGCCTCAAAGTATATGGCATAAGACAATCAACCTGCAAAATTCTGTCTCTATACATGTTAATGACTCTTGAGCATATATAACCACTACTAGGGGAGGGTGTTGCATTGAGCATATCCAACTTCTAGTCATACAGAAAAGGAAAGCCGCCTTCACAGCCAAAGCTACAGGCAAGTTATCCTCATGTGCACCAGGATCTCACCAAGAGCCACTATATTCTGTGAGACAACAAATGAGGAACAGAAATCTCTGTTGGATCTATGTCTTCAAATGGTTTGTTTTTCATGCTTTACTTGTATATATTTTTTCAGAGTTTATCTATCAGAGCATCATGAATAAAAGACACATAGAAAAGAAAAGAAAAGAAGAGAAAAGAAAAGAAAAGAAAGACAGACCCATGTATAGTAAAACTATGAACAAATTAGGTAGGAGAAAATTATAAAGTATGAACTAAAATAGATTAGATTTTAGTTCAACATATATGAACATTGTGCTTGTATTTTGTTAAGTTTGATTAAAGTATTCTTGTTCCTGCAGAGGTATGTTTTTCATACAGCACCAATTTTTAAAATTATTCTGCCTTTCCATGTTGTTTTTAAATGTTATCATTTTACAACATTCCCCAACAACAGGAAGAATCCTCATCTAAAATGGGTGTTGTCTGTTTTGTTTTTGATTTTAGATTTTATTACTGAATTTCTGTCATGGTGATTTGTAGCAGGCTTTCTTGAATTGCCAGCCCCCAAATCTTGACACAGAGACTTATTAATTATGAAAGCTTGGCATTACCTTTTGCTTGCATCTAACTCTTATAACTTAAATTAACCCATTTCTATTAATCTATATGCTGCCACATGGCTCGTAGGTTTCATCTCTCATTCTGCATGTCCTGCTTCCTTTCTGGCTCCTCTGGTGTCTCTCCCCCCACCTAGATTCATGCCCGATTCATTTCTCTCTGCTCTGAAGTCCCAACTAACCTCTACCTGCCAACCTAGTGGAGCATTTTATCCAACCAATCAGAAGGTGCATTGACAAACACACATCTTCACAGTGTACAGAAAGATTATTCTGTAACGGATTTATGTTGTAAAGCTAAGGTAAACTCTGGCTTATTAAGTAGAGGTTGGATGCTCATTTTAGTTCATGGCTTGTCATTGTCAAAGGAGGCAGGAAATTGTTTCAAGACAAACATTTTTCTCATTTGGATTTTAGTGTAGATGTGTTCTAGGCATGAATGCCAAGGTTGTGTGGGTTGTGTTCATGTTCATAGTAAATGTACTTCTCTGTATATATGTAGGCCAGAGTTCATCCTAGATTAGTGGTACTCTGGAGACATATACATTATTTTTTGTTTTACTATTTATGCTTTTGTAATTTTTGAATGTGTGTTTATTTGATGTGTGTGTGTGTGCGTGTGTGTGTGTGCATGTGTGTGATTGTGTATGTGTGGATATTTATCTATGTGTTGGTGTGGGTGTGTTAGAGAGAGAAGGGGGAGAGAGAGAGAGAGGAGAGAGAGTGTGTGAGTTTAGGACAAGAACTGTCATTAGGGAGCATTCAAAGTCACTATCCACCTTGCTTTTTGACACAGAGTCTGACACTGACTTAAAGTTCACTAAGGAGATTCAGCTCACTGGACAGACAGTCCTAGCCATTCTCCTATCTCTGCCTCCTGACACTCCTGGTATTCCAAGCATATGCTGCTAATGCCTGCCTGTTAGAATATTCTGGTGTTCAAACTCAGGTCTTTATGATTATAATGTATATCCTTTACCAACTCAGCTACCTTTCCCATCCAGTGTGCTCATTTTCCTAGAAACAAGAGTGTCCTGTTGGTGTAGAAAACTAACTAAGGAAAAAAGAGAGTTGCCATAGGCAGTGCTAACAAGCCATAGAAGATAATTCTTTGGTAAAATAGATTTTGAAGACAATATCTTAAACTTGTGATTAAAAATTTGACATGCTAAGTCACTGTCCGTTATGGTTTTGATTCATTTCATAATTATTTGAATGCCTATATTTGTATTGTAACAACAGAAACAACAAAAAACAGTCATATGTATTTTAGTGTAGCACTCAAAGTTCTGTCAATGTGAGTCTCAGGATCCCCTATTAAAAATATATTTCAAAAGTATGAAACAGGAAAAAAACTGGAAAGAATACTTGTGTACAATTGTGTAAATTACTGTACACAATGATTCTAGAGACCAATGGTGTTGACAAAATCGAATACTTTCATTAAAAATCTGGTGCAGAATGATATTAACAGAGTCTTCCAGGCAACTCCAAAATACCATCTTTTATCCATTGCTTTTCCCCCTTATATTTTCATCAAATTCATCAATAACTAGAAACTCACCATTTAGGCTCTCTGTTATCTAGAGAATATTAAACCACATTAAAAACACCATAGCACCCTACACACTACACAGGCAATATACCAACTGCAAAGTAAGTTGTGCTTCTTATTCTGAGGTCTATAATTTCAGCACTCAGAAGCTCAAGGCAAGAGCATCAGTAGTTCAGAACTACATAGCAAGCACAGGACCAGCATGAACTACATGAAACCATGTTTAAAAATAAATATCTTCTGGCTGAATGGAGGAATACTCTCATGAAGTTCAGCACTTCCATGAAAATTCAAAGCAGTTTAGTGAAACTCAGACTACTCAGCAGTTTCCTTGATACAAGTATTCATTATCAAATATTATTTTGAAGCAAAAACATTTTTAAAATGAGCATGCATTTTAATCTCCAGATAAAATAATATCGCTAATTTTCCTGTGAGTAGAACTGTCTACAACAATTCCAGCTGTCCTGACAAACTACAAAATCTATAAGAAAAACTCTACAGAGTCACCAAAGAAAGAGAAAAGCAGAAAATATTTAAAGGAAATGCCATGCCCCAAACTTTAAACAATTGGCAAAGAATTAAGGAACGTATGTTTATTCTTCTGATAATCATATCTCCTTCTGTCTTTTAGAATGAAACTCCTGTAAGACCTACCATGATGGAGTGATGTGCATAGCTCTTGTTCTGGCTCTGCTGTAGAATCATTTGTAATTCTACTAATCATCTTCTGAGAGCACACATGATAAAGAGAACTCAAGGGCTCTCCATTGTCTCTCATGGACAAGGTTCTAGAATCCTGTGCCTTGCAACAGAAGCCTCCCAGTCCATAGAACCTGGCAATGATGAGGTACTTCCCAAGTATTCTTCAGTCATCTCAACCAAACTTATTAGGATTTCTTCAATGTGAGTAAGTGTGCTTCCTCCCTGTCATTTGATATCCTCCAGTATCTCTAATATAGACAAAGACCATTACATGACATTCATTTTATTTTACTGTATGTGAATTGTAAACAAAAGCTGAACTCTGAACTTTTGTGCATATTGAAACCTTTTTCCCAGTTTATTCCCTCAATTGTGAACAATAGTAAAGAATACTCTTAATCATTCAAATATGCAAGAATTTTTCTATCCCTTTTACAACATAGCCTAAGAAATCAAGTGTTTGTTACTTCTTTTCTTTCAATGGTCAATGAATATAACAGACACTGCAACTGCTCATGAAGATGCTTTACCTATTTCATACAACTGTCATCAAAAAATAAGGCATAAACAGAACTTAGAAGAAGAGACGTGAATAAAATAGCAGGATCGGCATAAATTTTTTTTGGCAATTAACTAACTGATTCTTGCGAAAACATCAACCTGAGACGAATGCTTTTAACAGGATAGCTTGGACACATGGTGATAACAAGTCTATTTACTAATTAAAATTGTCTTGGCACCTGCCAATGTTCTTCCTTGACCCTTCCATCTTTAGGACACTCCTTCATCTCTTCATAGTTGTTTAGGCTTTACACCACAAATGCTATTTGTCACCTGCTACAGTCTGTTTCTAAGTTTTACACCATTTACAAGGGCCAACAAATAAGTAAAAATCCTAATTCAACCATCATAATTATATATGTTAAAAATGTCAGGTTTTGGGGATACTTTAAATATATTAAAATTGATATCATATATCAGAATTTATAGCCATACTTAGCAGGTCTTGTCAGATTAACATATGTTATTAAGTTGCTTCAAAATCCAACTTTCACCAATAGATTGAATATGCAGAGAGAAAGCCTCTAGCCAAATAATTACAGTTTTGAACTGTATATTTGAACAGTATATATACCGATTTTACAGTAACTTTTTATATATTTTATGTAGAACTAAAGGATTTGGAAATTTTCCATACCAAATAAATAATAATTCTTATGTGGTTAACAGTGATAATTACCTGGATTTTGTCATCATACTTTATGAATGAATGAGTCAGTTTTTCATGAATACCCAAAAGGATGTGCAACACTGTGTCACCATAAAAATAGCAAATTTCAGTTTGTAAATGAAAATAAATTTATTTTATTTTAAATCGAGAGGAAACAAACATTCAATTAAAATAGCTAACATATAATGCTAACTTATTTTTATGTGCTTATGAATTATTCATTTACTATATCTCCTTGTATAGTTATTTATACTTAATAATATTAACATTACATTAGTGAAGGAGTAATACGTTCTCCTGATCAAGTTTTATTAGTGTATTATTCACAGTAATGAGTTTCATCATGGTATATTCATGCGTATGTGCCATTATAGTTTGCTGTTGTTCATTGTTCACCCCATATCGTTATTCTATTAAAATGTTTTTTATAAAACATTCAATGTTGCCAGTGACAAGCTTGATCAGGTATAGTATGCTACTATTTGACTACAATATGCACGATCTATTAAATATTACATGACTTATAAAGAGTTCATTTCACAATAATATTTTGCTTCCCATAACAAGGCCATGGAACTGATGATGGCTAATTCGCTTCCTCCCTATTTGTAAACTTAACTAGAATACATTCTTCTAGGAGTTCTTGAGCTTCATTTATGCAAAGGAGTATGTGTAGTGCTTATGTTTCTATGAACCACTCGTGTCCCTGAAAATGAAAGAAAAGCTACAGTTTGATGTATTTATTTTCGCCAGAGATTTTTCACTCCATATGCAAATTTGTATAAAATTTCCAGCAATTTTTCACAAGAGTATAAGGTTTAAAGTTTAAAGAAAAGTGCTGGGTTCATATGACTGCTCAAATGTGAGTTGAAGAAAGATGAGAACAACTAACATGCATAACTGGTCATGATAAGCCCACAAGGCCTCAATACCATAGAAAGAACTATAGGCAATGGAGGAGAACTGGAAGGGAGAGGTGGTCTTCTCCATAGAAGATCATGTCTATTGATTATCCAGTGGCAAAGGGTCAGCCCTGATGGCATACATACCAGTAAATAACATTATATGGACTAAGGTGGTTGTAAGCATGCAGTTACAGTTAGGGGAAAAAGAGGCTGTAAATTAGAAGGAAAGTGGGGACAGGAATATGGGAGGGGTTGGAGAGAGGAAAGCAAAAGTAGAAATGTAATTAAGTTACAGTCTCAAAAAATGTACGGGGTTCAGAAGAGCATTGACTAAAGGACACAGCAATGATCATGTTAAAATGGTAACCAACATCATTGTATCTTTCAGCCGATCATTAGTGGTGAATTTGCAAAATATTTTGAGTTTCTCTTGAATATAAGAGGACATTGAGTTTCCAAGTTGTTAGAGAACTGTAGTAGGCTCTGAGGTTACTGAAAATAGAAAGCCAGACTCTGAGATGTATTGCTAGCAGAAGACCAATCATGCCAGGAATGGGAAAGGTGACTAAGTGGATTTGTTCCCTGGTTTCCATGAGACCATTTTCTGAATAGTACCTCACTTACAGCCTAGTGAGACCTAGAGAAAAAACTCAACGAGACTATATCCATATTCCTAGTTCACTGAGATGTGTAGGTCATGTATGTATGTGTGTTTAAGACACTAATTTGAGGATAATTATTTTATATGATGATCGATTATCACTATTATCACTAGGAAGTGAATTTTCCCTTCTCAACTTTCCATTGTCTTTGCCTTAATAGCATAATGATGCCATCTGATATTTGTTTTGTAAATCAATTATATTTAAAAGCTCAACACTGCACTGGAGAGATGACTCAGTATGGAAATTAGCTGTCCACTGGGAGTAGATATCAAAAGGAAAATAGTTAACCAGGGCTTTGGATTTTGTCTTATAGATCTAAAACATGAGAACCTAGAAGTACTTGTAAGGGGGTCTGGCCACCTTAGTTCTGGGTCCTCTGAAATTTATTGGATGACTCAAAGCCGTGGAGTTGAGTCTCAGGTAAGCTGGTTCATATGAGTGCTGTATCTCTAGGGCTGTCAGTCCCGATGCTTAGAGAAGAGGTAAATATACATACTCATCAAACACAATCTGAAAGCTACGGATGCCACATAGGTTAGAACTATGATTAAAGCAACACTGACAGAAACCGATCTAACAGTTGCTCCCTTCCCCCCAACTTTGCAGTCCAAATTCGGTTCCTCAGTTGTGCAGATTTTTAGTAGGAAGGGTTGGAGGAAAAACAAATGAGATTTGTAGGTTCCCTCTAAGTAAATGAGAAAACAGAGTGAAAAGGAGAGGGTGTCTTGGAACTGAGAAGCCCCGCTGGAAAAGGACACAGAGCCTGGGAGTTGCTTCTTTGCTATGGATTATAACACCAATTCTACTGAAAATAAAGTAAAGTGGTATAAAATATTACATAGTGTGAACTTGCTAGGGATTTCTTTTATTTAGAGGTAAATCCTTGTGGTCCTGAAACAGTGTAGCTTTCTGGAACTTCCTATCAGAGGTTTTTGACACATACAGTAATATTTTTACTGCCAAGACACTACAGACTAGTATTGTTGGCAGCAGACACTGAACAAGCCTTGTGCACAGCCTGTTTGCTTGCCCTAAGTTGCCCTAAGGTGCCCTTTTGTCCTTCCTCTTTTCCTGTGGTCAGGGAGTCACAGGATGTTTACGATATAGCTATTGCTGGAACATTGTTTGGAGACTCGGCTCTTTGCTGATTTGCTTGCAGTTTTCCTTTTTGGCTGAGATGCTGGGACACAGATGGGAACCTGAGGACTGTACCCTGACCCCATGGAGAGTAGGAAGTAGCAGAGTATATAAGGCTGATGGATAGTCAATAAAGGGCTCTCTTTGAATGACGAACCACGGTGTGTCCTGAGTGCTGCTTAACCTTGACGTCCCTCACCAGTTCTGGGTCCCAGGCCGTGCAGGTCACGGCAGGTGGAGGTCACCACCGGGACCTGGAAAGAGGGGGAAGCGAACGAGGCTCACCCTAAAAGGAGGGGTGGAGGATTGAAACATTGGTACGTACCATGGGTAATTCTGCAAAAGCTCAGATGGCCACTGAGGAACGGGAATTAAGATAAGTAAGCAAGGAACAGGAATTAAGTCTAGCACCACACTCACATTTGTGGACACCATAGCTGAAGCAAGTCCTTGGTTTCTGACTGGAGGATGTTTGAATATTCCAGATTGGGAACAAGTAAAAAGAAATTTACAAAAGATGTTGCAAGAGAAGGGTGCAGATAAATTTCCTACAGCTGCATTTTCTCTATGGAGACTTGTGAAAGATGCTCTTCTGACTGATAAAGTGAAAGTGAAAGAGCAACTTTCAGAGTGCGAGCAAGCATTTGCTAATGCTCAGGAGGCGGAGATGAATGAATCTTTGAAAAGGGAAAAGGAAGAGGTCGAGGTCCCCTGTAAAGAGCGTATAAGGATATTTGTGAAAGATTTAATAGATGAGGAAGAAGATGATGATCTTGCCTCTGTCTCAGATTTAGTAGAGGAGGAAGAGCAGCTTGAAAAAGAGATAGAGGAACTACAACAGAATTTGGGCCGTGAAAAAGAGAAAGCACAGTCAGCACCTTCTGCTCCTCTATTGTCTCAACCCCCGCCAAGAAATCCTCATTGGATAAGGAAGGAAAAAGAATCAGAGGACAGATATAGGTAAAAAAAAAAAAAAAGGGTGTGTGTGTGTGGTGGTATTGTGTTCACCAAAATATTGTGTACCTTAATAAACTCACCTGGGGTCAGAGAACAGACAAGCCACTAGTTAGTCAGTGATAGCATACGCCTTTAATCCTAGCATTCCAGAGATAGAAATCCCTCTGGATCTCTGTGAGTTCAAGGCCACATTGGAAATAGCCAAGCATGGTGACACACACCTTTAATCCCAGAAAGCCAGCCTTTAATCCCAGGGAGTGGTGGTAGAAAGTAGAAAGATATATAAGGCGTGAGGACCAGAAACTAGAGG